GTTTGGTGTTTGGGGTTTTGGAGGTGTTCCTTAAGCTACCGTCACCTACTACTTGTTTGTAGGTTCTTATTGTACACCAAAGTACAGAATTTATAGGGACCCTACAAAAAAGTAGGTTTTGGTAGCTTAAGGTAGGGTTTAAAGGAGCAGAGCAGCAACCGCTGCGATGGAGTTCGCTTCCGATGGGGACGCCCCTGATGTCCCTTCTGTAGGTGCGTGAATTAGGACAGTTAACGCTGTCCTCAGAGCCTAACTTCGCCACATACCTTCAAGTGCGATCTGACAGCCTTGAGACTTGAGAGCACCAGAGATCCAGACTTCCACTATCCTTTCATTAAGGAGCTTACCTTAAACTAGACTACGAAACCCTAAGCCCTTAACCCTTATCCTTGAACGCTAAACCCTAAACCCCCAAACCCCCAAACCCCTAAACCCCTTAAGCCCTAAACCCTAAACCTAGGACCCCTGATCTGATCTAAGGAAGCTAAGGTAGATTCCTTAATGAAGGGATGTTGGAAGGTCTGCGGAAGTCACCATCCAGATCCCTGCCCAGAGGGTCCATGTACCCAGATAGTATATACACTGGCCCTAAAATACCTATATAGGGACTACATTAAGGCCAATGTATATACTATTTGGGTACTGGACCGTTAGGGCTTTTGAGCCCAGGGAGAGCCTGGTGAAATTCTCCCTGAAAGCCTATTGGTGAGTAGGGACCTTACTCAGAACCTATAAAACCTGAACCGAAAACCCTAAACCCTAGTAACCTGGTAGGACCTTGTTCCTAGTGAATTGGACTTTGAGTCATCAACAAAAGTGAGAGACTGTTGGTATCAGAAAATCTACATGGTTATTCGCAAAGGGGCCTTACATACAGTCACCAACATGAAGACCTTAGATCATCCTGTAAGCAGCACAAGAACGTATTAGCAAGCAAATACATGGGCCGTAGGGGGGGGGGGGGGGGGTGGCGTGGCACGAATCCCAAAGCATATCACCGTCTTTCCCATGTGTGCAAAACCTGTGAAACCACACAACAATGCTTCCTCTCACGAGCTTATTGCTAGCAGGTCTCTAAATTCGTAAGCCCTCCACCCTAAACTTTCTAAACCCTAAACCGTACCTAAATCGGACCTTCATCTGTCTTAAACCATGCAGCCGAAACCCTATACCCTAAACCCTAGAGTCGCCACCTAAGTCGGACATTCAGCCGTGACCAGGATGCCTTTCGTGGGTTGGGATTTGCTCACACCGTTGCAGATTACTTCCAGGCCGACAGTTGCAAGCAGAAATTTGGCTATAATCTGGGGTTTGAGGGAAAAGGTTTATGGGTTAGAGTTAGGGTTTACCCTAAACCCTCAACCCTAAACCCCGTTACCCTAAACCCTAAACCCTTAAAAGAACCTAAAGGTTCCTAAAGATGAAAGGTTCCTTTAAGGGGTCCACAAGGGACCCGTAGTCTCCATTGTACTTCCTTTTTTGGGGTTTAACCAAGTTTAAATTTAGGATCCTATAAGACAATGGAGACGATAGGTAGATTGTTAGGGCTTTGGGGTTGAGGGTGTGAGGCTTTGCGTGCATACGTCTAGGATATTGAGTTGCTATAACATGTTGTTTTGCTTAGTCCGCCCCATGGGATGTTGCAAGAAGCTTCTACTCTACAGGTGTTGAGTGGGATTTGCATGGTGTTTTGGGTAGAATGATCGAGGGCACCGAGGGTTTGACATATTTCGGAGTGATGACGCGGTTTTGGCTTTCGTGTTCAAGGCTTTTGGTCAAAAGCTCAGAGTTGCACATTGGGATCGGACGGACAAATCGATGCATGTTGGAGAGCTGAATTTTTATCTTGGAGGCTCGTGGGTTCGTTAGCCGCGTAAACCTAAGCGATTTCAGCGATTTTCTGTCTTTTGAAGGAAGGGGTGTGTTGTCTGCGCAAGAAGGACGTTCGCAACAGCCTGGTAATTAGGCGCGCTTGCGCTTGACATCCACATTTCACAGCGAGAGGCGTTCTTTGATGCGCAGCAGGTCAGCAGACATCATTAGCATCAGAACGGCTGCGTGTCGCCAGTCTAGGATCACCGTTGGCTTCTCATCAGCCTCACTAAGTCTTTGTATCTCTGTGTTTCTGAATGTCATGATGCGGTTGCAGGCTCTGTTGATATGCGGATCAAGGCCAGCTAGCTGAGGCCCCCCACTCATTCCTCCAACTATCCCTAACCTCCCAGGTACCTACTATATAGGGTACCAGAGCCCCTAGGGCCCTACATAGTAGGTACCTGGGAGGTTAGGTTATGGGCATCAGCCGGGTGCATCGGCTCAGCCGTGCACGACCGGACGGCTCTGTCCGACCGTACTGTATGTGCGTGCGTGTCCGTGTGCTGTAGGGTGGGTGTTGTCAGACGTCCCAGTGCCCAAGGAGACAGGGACAGCCAGAACACCTGGGCAAGACCACATCAGAATGGGACCTGCAGGGCCAGGGCGAGCAGAAAAAGCTTTCCTCACCCCGCTCAGGGCCTTGGTGCGAGGTACTAACCCTGCCAGCCCCCAATCCCTTGCGCACACTCTGCCCCCCTCCCTCCTTCACATGGGCATTCCGCAGCAGCATCCGCATCAGCTGGGTTACATGTCGTTACCTGGCCAAAAACGGAGGCACCAGCATCATCTGCATCAGCCGGTTCATGTGTCCATACATTGCAAGGCCGCAGCGCGCCGGCAGCTCCGGACCGGCCAGTTTACGAACGTGGGAGGGGTTTAGCCCCTAAACCCTAAACCCAAAACCCTATTTAGGGTTTAGGG